GCGGGGCAACGTGCATGCTTCGCTCGTTTGCAAGCCATGATGTCTCTCGAGGAAAAAAAAATGTTGCACTCGCCTCACACGGTAGTAGCTCATTTTCTCATGGGCGGGCCAAGGTATTAATTTCCTTCTGAAAACAAATCTTACTGACTCCAGTCAGCAAGTATATAATAAAGAGGTTTTTACAATCTAAAGTTAATTTACCATAAATAAGACACATGAATCTGTTAATCATTCAGTTAACTAACCATCTATACTGATAACCTCACATTTGATAAACAGACATGTTTCACCACTGCAGTGCATAAACTTAATCACAGTCTCTTTTAGATAAGACATTCAACAGCATGCACATTATACCACATTAGTGGACTATTTCAGAGAGGTTACTATCTCAGAAGCATCTCACCTTATCTCCGGGCAGCTCAGGGGGAGATTCCTCTATACCCATCTCTCTCCTCTGCTCTGCTCGCACCTCAGCATAACTACAGACAAAAACAATTCAAAATAAAAACATAAGCAAAGTCACTATTGGTATCTTCCCGGTTTGTGTAGTCATCTGTGTGCCTCTGCGTACCTCACAACTGTGTGCGTGCACACGATAAACTCTGGTCGTGAGTTCCACTGGTGATAGGTGATGTAGTAGTTAGTCTGGAGCCAAATCCACTGCTGCCCTTTAGTTAAAAAGCGATAATAACACGATTTCCCTTTTCCAAACTGCATTACTGCAAGCAGACAGAGAATAAGAGAGACATATGAAGAAGAATATGACGCCAAATGAAAGTTTCAAATATATGTTAGTTTGTTTTAAACTCACAATGCTCATGGCATTTGGCCAGTGAATGCAAGTCGTCTACATGATAATAGTCATAGCCTGATGTTCCCAACACCTCAAAGGGCATATAGCCAATGATAGGAGGTGCTCTGTAACACAAGAATATCTCAATGAAGGAAAAACTGGACGTTACAAACATGGAGAAAGTGATATTGTCAGTAAGTGTGAAAACCTGTGATCTAATAAGAGGAATTTCCACTCCAGACTGTGTCGAGACGTAAATTCTACATTGGGCTCCTCCACCATGCACATCTCCTGTACACAATCAATAACAAACAGGTCAATATTAGAATGCTTTTGCTAATAATGCTTTTTTATGATGCATGCCTATGGTTGCTTGCTTTCAGAGAGTTTCTGTAATGGAGATCTATTTTTGCTCTGGATTTTCTGATTGATTATCAGCTTACTTTGATGAACTGGGGTTTGGTGAGCCTCACAGTCGCAATAAGACAGACTTTATCGTCGAAGGCCGGCTGCAACGAGTGCTGTAAAATTCCCTCAAGGCCATTTCGGGTTGCAAGAGGTACTGGTACAGCATTCAAAGTGGAGATTTGTGTTAAAAGAAATTGGCCATCCATACATTTTGCTTTGGGCATTAAGTAATGCAGTTAACATATGGTCGAGTATTTAGTCAGTTTATCAAGAGGAAAATAAACACTCACTGTTGGCGAGTGACTTAAAGTTGCCAATAAACTTGACATATTCATACACAGGCGGTTTCTTGGGATCCACAGAACCTCTGAGCATGTGACAACAAAACTCCATCTGGTTCTTGGCTGAGACAAATGAACAACAACGAAAAAACATTAGGCACATGACAATATCAATTAAAATCACTCTTATACAGTGAAAATATGCTGAGGCAGCAGACATTGGCACAGAGTAATTTTTACCATCTCAGTGGGAAGCAGGACAGGACTATTAAGTGACAAAGCTTTCACTCTTTTACCAATATTCACTATATATATATATATATATATATATATATATATATATAT